CCAATTTAAGCAAAAGAAATAATAGCACACTTGTGTTACACGCTTTGCGAGCTACTAACGAAAATCAGGCTTATACATGTTTTACAAAAGCAGACGATACATTGTAGCAAAAAAATCACGAAGCAGTAGATCAAATTTAATGCTCAATGTACAATCACGAGCTTGCACTTATACATACTTATATTTTTAAATAATATTATTTATAAATTAAATATACACATATTTAATATAAAAATATGTAATAATATCTTCATATCAAAATATATGTATACATAATAGGTGCAAACCTGTGTGGCGTAGCACGAAAATTAAACGAAAAAAACTCCAAACATGGAATATTGCGATTACTAGATCATATTTTGTGAAAATATATTTTTATAACAAGATAATATATATGATAACAGTAAAAATATACTCATTTCAAATTTTTAAAGATAGTTGCGCTTTTTTCCGATCAGGAGGCGCCACTATTCTATGCGATTCGCATTACATTTGATAGATGGCGCTACGTTAAAAATCTAAGTCACTAGCAGCCAACTTCAGTTCGGAGTCGTATACTGCAGTTTACCCCTGCAGTTTATCCCTCGTCCGTGCTCCCAGTTCGTAATTACAAAAAGTCCCTAGTTCTGGAAGATGTAAAATGGCTGCTATCCGATAGCTGTCAAGCTCGCGAAATGTCAAGTCTTGTTAATTTTGGACGATATCGCCTTTAAAGAGTGAAGTATTTGAAAAGCGCTTTGAAATGAACACGTAGTAAGTATACGATTTAGTAATATTTCATATTGCTATAGCAGTTCTAACAGAAATGTTATACGTGTGTTATCGATATCCGGGATACGTAACCGCAAAGCACTTGCAATAAAACTCATTTCCATATAGGTTTCACGATTATTCTTTTTTAAGCATTTAATTCATGAATGTCTTATATATCCTTCATTTTCAAAATATTTTTGTTATTTCACTACTCTATATCATATGAATTAAATATTTTTTACAGTGATAGAGGAGCACCAGGCATATCTGGCAATGCTTTCGACCGATGGGTTCAAAGATCTGAATTCCCTGATGATTCTCCAATCACAAAAATGCAACACCAATTTTGGGTCACCAAGCAAACCCTGTCTCGTAAGCTGGGCAAAAAGGAGGATGACTGTATAGTATCGTCAGATGCAGAACTGGATGCTAAACTAGAACTCTTTCGAAGTATCCAAGAATCCTGTCTTTACTTACAAAAAATCATTGATAAATACCAAGAAAGATTATGCAGTCAGTTACTGGACTTTTATTTTTTTCTATGATCATTACTTCAAGTAATGTTGATTAATATTTGTTGTTTCTATTCTTGATTCACCTAGATTTGGCCCAAGAGGAAAATGCAATGGGTCGTTTCCTAAAAGAAGCTGGAAAGCAGGATAAAACAAGAGCTGGGAAAATGATGTCAGCAGTCGGAAAATCCCTATCTTATTCCGGTCAACAACGTCTAGCATTGCGAGCCCCATTAGTTAGGCTTTATCAGGAAGTGGAAACGTTCAGGCAACGAGCTATTGAAGATACTTTGCAAAATGTACAGGCTATGGAAAAAGCCAGAACTGAATATCGTGCTGCTCTATCGTGGATGAAGAACATATCCCAGGAACTAGATCCTGACACCTCTAAACAGTTAGAACGATTTCGAAAGGTGCAGACTCGTGTTCGCAGAGGAAAAGTTGCCTTCGATAATTTGACTCTTGACTGCCTCCAAAAAGTGGACTTACTAGCTGCAGCCCGATGTAATATGTTCAGCCATGCTCTTGTCCTCTATCAAAGTACATTGCTTAACTTTACTAAGAAATCTGCTCAGGCTTATTTAACGATAGCAAACAGCTTCAAAGGCTATCAACACTATGACTTTATGGTTGTGCGAGAACTCGCAGAATCTTCCTGTAAATTAGCTCAGGAAACTGGCAGCAGTGAAGATCCTGAGGACAAAGACAAGCTTCTTTTCTTTGACGCAGACTATCATGACAATGTCGACGAAGCCCAGGAAGTAAAACCAACTGACGAATTCCCAGCAGTAGAAAGTAACACAGCAGATGTGAAGCTTTTGGACATTGGAAATGATACAGAGGATATCCTGGGTTTAGACGGTCTTGATCTTAGCATGACAAGCACCAGTAACGATACCAAAGTACAAAACATACTGAGTTCTTCTCGCAGCGCGGAATTAAGCGATCTGTTTGGAAACCTAATGTCTGAGGGTACCCTTAATGGCAAGATATCCAGCCATGAAACTCCTTCAAGTGGACAACTGCAGCTGGACAAAAGCTTAGCCGAACTCGACTTGGCAATGGATTCCTTTGGCACTGGTGGTACTGGCTTAGACTTTATCAACCCCCCATCCTTAGCACGACAGACATCACAAGAACAAACACAGCAACCACTTCAACTATTCACTTCTGAGAGCGTAGCATTATTAGATGATATCCTTAATAGTAGCACGAATAGCAACACCGACTGGGATACCTTAACTGGCGATACTTTTTTGCCACCTGGTATACTTAAGCAAAGCCTTGGAGATGCTGCGCTTGGTACAATTCAAAAACACTTTCATGCTACAAGCAGTGATGACAAAGTAGGTACTACAGAATTAAATAATCTTGTATAAAGAAATTAATAACAATTTTCTTTACGTTAATAGACGAAGAATAAGGGTGATCGTCAAGTTGGTAATTCATGGCTTGATCTATTCGCTGAATTAGATCCACTAGCGAATAATCCAATGGAACGTCTCTCAAATGACTGCAATGCTCCAGCATAACGAAAAGAAGATATGCTGCAGATAAGTGAACTACCATAGGTACTTATGGCATATTTAGTTTATACATGACCTTAATAGCAAAGATACGATTACATTACCACGATTTTAATTTCAAAACGGTCATAGACCAGTCATTTAATCAGATAGAATCTTTTACTAAAAAAAAAGGATTTCAAATCCGAATGATGTAGAATCTCCATGTACCGATAACTTGCAAATCGTCCAAGGGATTTACATTATCCCATATTTATATTTGACATTCCAAATACATAGACATTAAGTATTATCAGGAGGCCTCGTGGATTGTCCTTGAATATTATTGGGTCTGAAACGGTTTATAACCTATCAAATACTTTTTACTAAAGATTACAAGGTAAAATGAAGCTCTGTACTTTCATCACTTTACTAGTCACAGATTTAACACTCCATTTCTTTTTGTTTATAATGGAAAAACCAAAGATTTTTTCCCCTCTCTTTTTAAACAAATATCCTCAAATAACATTCCATACTAGACACAATAATCAGATATAGTTTAAAGCTGCAGCGGCATTTTTTAATTGGATTTACCACGTCGAGTGTGTCTACGTGTAAAGTTTACTATATGAGGTTATAATAAAAAATACACCAAAACGGTGCAATGGTATGTTGTCTGCATGTATTTGCTACCTTTAACAATCCTTAACATCGTTAGGTTGACTTTCTAGTAATTCTTTTAATTATCCGTCTCATAAAACATTGTTAATTCTTTTCTTTTTAAAAGGCTCTTGGAACATTTAGGGATTCTTGCGTAATGGATATAAAGCAAATGTAGAGGTATAGGGAAACCGTACGATTGCTGACTTGATTGACAGTCAGTATGAATTTGACAATTCGGATGTTTAACTATTACTTTAATAAATATGTCGCGTACGATACTAGAATCTCATTATGTTCAGGTCGCGAGAATTACGGTATTCTTGGCAAATCGTGAAGGCCATCTCACGTGTAAGTCGATAGAGTTCCTTGGGAAAGGGTAAACGATCACAGTGTTAAGTTGAAATTTAAAAAGGTAAAAACTAAAAATTGTAAAAAATCTAGCGACGATGGGTAACCAATTATTATCGGGCTCAAGCGTCGAAGAACTGCGCCATTGCAGTCTTTACCCTGAAACAGTAATATCAATTGCGTCATACTCTTATGTAAATGTTTACACATCGTGAGAATTTATTATGATTCTAATGAATTTATTTGATTTAATAGATTTTAATGAAAAACATCACGCTACGTACTTATCGAACAACTGTGAATCATTCGTGTGACGTAATTGTTGCAAAATACGGTAGAGACCTAACTCGCGCAGTCGTGCCTGACGTTGCGCAGCACCAGGTTCCTCCTTCCAGACTAGGTTGCACACGCAAAATATAGCAGCCACTTGGAGTTTAACGTTGCTGTGCATCTGTAACAGATATGATATTGGGATTCGACATGTTAGTTACGCACTCCAAAGACTTGAGGGAAACCTTTGAAAAAAAAAAAAAAAACGAACCATATAATCCATGAGTTTTTTGAGTACATCCTCATTAGCCATTATGTGATCACGGGCGCGATCCCCGTCGGCCACATTGGCTAGGATACAGAGAGCCTGCTCTTTGACATCCGCCGGATGTTCCGGATCCTCGAGAACGAGTATGACGGCCTGCATTACGTGAGCGGCATGCTCGCCCATTATACGATCGATGTGCGCTTTGGTCGAAAGAAGATTGCGTAGGAGACCCAGAGTCTTCATAAGGACAGCGAGCTCAGGATCAGCCAGAAGGCGGAAAATCTGATCGGTACCAAGACACGAGAGGATCTGTGATTTGACGCGCTGTTCCGCCTGGAAGGCTACGTTCATCAAAGCCCAAATGCCATTCAGACGAAGAGCTGGATCAGGGCGTTTGGTGAGAGAACACAGTAATTCCACTCCACCAGATTCTAGGATGGGCTCCTTGCTTGGACTGAATTCCAGGAGTAGATTGCATAAGGTACTCGATGCCACTGTCAACAAATCCTCCTCGCCTTCACCCCTACCTACATCGCAGGGAATAGATCGTTCAAGCACTCCGATCGTCCTTTGTTTAGATTGTTCCTGGGAGAAAGCAGCTTTGCGAAATCGTTCGAAGCTCACCCTCCAATCCCTTGTCGGCACCATGAAGAAGCTGCATTAGGGGCCTCCACACAGCGTGATCCTGGAAAGTAGTTCGTAGTTGCTGGACACTCCTGGAGAGAGAATGCAGACATCGCACAGCAGCCAAACGAACTCGTGGACCACCAGGATCTTGTAGACCAGAAACCACCTGTTCCATAAGACTCTCCGTTTCGATGATCCTCTTTCGAATGTCCTCATCATTAGCACCCAGTGAAGCGAATGCACGAAATGCTGCTTGCCGCATATCTTGAGACAACGTCGCGTCCTGTACCTGATAGGTACAATTGGTCATTTCGATACATCAAAACAATTTGCTTCAAGCTACTTGTGAAGAACTTACCAGCGGCTGGGGCCTTAGTAATTCTGCCAGAGTGGGTATGAGATGATTACTAATAGATGCCAATCGCTGAAGTTCTGTGTCAACTTCCGTAAGATAAGCCAAAGTCTCTGCGGCTGCTACTCTTTCTCGCGGTGGTCTTTCCCGATGGCACAATCTTACCAGACATGGTAAAGCTCTGTAAACGACGCGGGGATCCGTCGAGGACAGTGCTCCAGCTCTATACATATATGCTACACAACGTGCAGCTTCCAGTTGTACTAACGAGCTTCGCTCCCGTCCCATGAGTTGACCTAGTGCTGCAGGTACGACTTTGCCCTGTACATTGCTGGTACTAGCAGCAGCGACCATCGCCGATACTGAGTGATTCTGATAGCACATATTGGCGAGACATGCTAAAGCAGGTAATTGTACATCAGCCAAAGGAGAATCTAGCTGAGCTGCTAAAGCAACCACAGCACCTCCCTTCGACAATGCATTTTGTTCCTCAGCAGTCTGTGGGTATGAACGTTTTTCTTTGTTTCAGGTTTTAATTTCAAAACCTCGTTACTGTAAAATATATAATTACCTTACATGCCGCGGTTAAAATAGTTGCTACACAGACTTGGCAGGTGACAGATCTACTAGCCAGAGTCAGTAAACGAGGTACCAGTGCAGGATTTTGGTAAATGGTATGTACTGGTGCTGCTGCATGTTGAAAAACTGTGCGCAAGCAGCGCAAACATGCTTCTATAAGCAAATCTGATAATTTGCCTTTTCCTTGACAGGGTTCTTCTAATATAGGAGTACTTAATAATACTTGAAGTATTAAAGGTACTACACCCAAATCTATAAGTGCCAGTACATGCTGATCAGTTCCTTTTGCTAGAGAGCCTAAAGTAACAGAAGATTCTAGACGAACACGTTCTCCGACTGTGCCTGATGTATCTCCTAATAATTGCAATAGTCGAGGTACTACCCCCTGCGCTATCACAGAACCCTTCTGGCGGTTACTCCCAATCACTGAATTCTTGAGGCATCTGTTGAATGAGAACAAAATATATGATACCGTCCAAAAACTTCAACTTTGTATTAAGTAATCCAAACTGCTGTGTTCTTAAAACTGTATATATATTCTTTTCAAGCATCAACAAAAACGATTACCAAATATACAGTTACAAAGTAACAAATTATATCAGATCATAATTATTAACATTAAATACCTAAGCATATTTTTCAAATCTCGAACTGCACAATCCAATGAATAATTTAGAGGTTATATGAATTTCACTCACATTATGGCTTCAAGACATTTTTGCGGGTCCGGCGAATACAGCTCGTCGATGTAGCTTCTTGAGCTTTCGACGTCCTGACAAAGATTAAAATAAAAACTCCGATTAATAATTATTTTCATACATAGAATATCACTGAAAATGTGCTAGGAATGAATGTCAAAGGCAAAGGACCGGCCCTAAGCTAACAAACCTCGAATACAGCACTCACCATGAAGGGCTGCATCACCGAGACCATGATCATTCTCTTGATTTCTCACATAAATAAAGGGTTGTCTTACACCTGGAAATAGTTTTGGGCAATCGTTTGCCACGAGGAAGCCGTCAAACCCTCTGATTATTACGTGAACTACAGTACCACTCGATTACGAAGCACGACTTCTACGTTATAAAATAATTCGAGCTGACTTCAGACGTATTTCATACAAGTGGTAATAAGTTTGCTACCCTGATCACCACTGGCTCTGCCACTGCCTCATTTTCTGAAATTGCTGAGTTTTCAGGCTCGTCGAAGAAATTGAAATAAGGAACCTTCGTAATTGATTTTCATAAGATACAACCAAATTTTAACGAAAATATAGTAAATAATATAGCATATTCGTTGACAAAATGTCTATGGTTAATAAGATAATACGTTCCGTCGAAACTCGTATAGGTTAGTCAAAACTTAAGTAATATTTTGATTGAACAATTTTCTAAATCTATTAGTAATCTTTACTTGTTTTTAGATATTAAAATTTTATTAATGATAATGTCATTTCAGGTTTTAATATGTTTATTCAGTTTAATAGCTTGAGTATATCTTCTGTGAGAACATTGGATCAGGATTGGCGAGCAAAGTAAATTTTTATATTGTTGTGTGCAATAGGTAGTATATAATATATGGTTCCAGGAAAGGTTTGACTAAAAATCCTAATGCTTTTGGAGCACTGACTAATTTGGCAGATTATACCTTTTTGGATGGAAGACCAACACCTTATGGAATTAGACAAAAAACACGCATAAATAAACAAATAAACTATGCTGTATGTATACACTTCTAAATTGTTTTAAATGATTATCTGTAGTATCGTATTATACTGTAATATTCTATTTCAGCAAAGAATTAAAAAACTAATATCTGAAGTAGATTACGCTGTTGAAAGACATAATAAGAAGCAAAAAGAAATGGAAGAAAGAAGGAATAGTATTATCAGCAACAAGTTAAAACCAAAAGGAGATCTCCTATTAGAAAAATCTGATAAAAATTAAGAAATATTGTAAATCAGACAAAAAACAAGTACGAATGCAATACATAAAAATAAAATCTTTATAACAACCCTACATTTAGTAACACTAGTTTTCTTATAAATTCACAACTGCAATAAACAACCTTGGTCCAGTTATATTTTATTTTTAAAAATAAAATGTATTTCTCAAATTTGATGTATGTACATACATACACATTTTGTTCTACACCGTTGGCTATTCCGGTGGTCGAGTTTTATATCTCGATTCTCGAAGTAACTCGACCATTCAAGAATAATGTAACAGAATCGAGATTCGAGATGTATCTCAATATCATAATAAAAATCAACAAGATCCAAGTTGTCTAAGCCTCCTTCACGGCTGTTATTAATATCCTAATCGGACCAGTGTACTGACGAAACATACAGGAAGAAAGAGTAAACGATTTGCATACGTTCAAATGTAAAATGACGTCTGTGGATTCTGGAGTGGAGACAGGGAACGATTCAAACGACAGTTTGGTAGCTCAACATGAAAGTCTCGCAAGTAATCAAATTCCAGGCAGCAGTACAACAATCAGCACGAACTCGTCAGGAACATCGTATGCAGTCAATTCCCAAGGGCAAGAACAAAGCAGCATGAGTTTTGAAGAAACACCAGCTAAATTATCGCTTCTACCAGGAGCGACTATATATCCAGCTATAGAAAACTCACCCACATCCAGTCAGATCAGTTTACCAACAAGTTCATCTGAATCAATTTTGTTTCGTTGTATCGATGCAAGACCCGACAAGGTAAGTCAGCATGAATATTCACCAGGTAATAGTTTTTTGGAAGTTGCTATTCATTATATTTTATTACTACAGCTATTGGAGTTTCGTATTCCACCTATGTGTAATATGACGGGCCTTCCAATGATGGGAGTTTTCAGAGCAAGTGAGTATCAATTTAACTTTCTCTTCATAATACAGATCAGAGCACAGCATATTTAGCTCGTCATAAGGCTCTTATTTGCACTGTTTTACAAACATATCTTAATAGTTTATGAAGTATTTATATTTACTTTAATTACTATGTTTTTGATCCGTATTGATGCTAAATGATGAGATTTAATCTTAAATATATTTGATAATAATGCTGCCTTGTTATTTTTGTTAAGACATTTTTGTACATTCAATAATTTTGTCTCTTTTTTAACTACTACGTAGAAACATCCTCTCCTGCACATTGGAGAAGAAAGGAAAGTCTTATCTATAGAGACTTTACTGGGCCTCTTAATGAGCGTAAAATGAGACTTGCAGCAGCTACCAACAATATCGAGTTAATGCGACATTTGCTCAGCATAGGTGTATCACCAAATAATCAGGATAGAAGAGGTCGTTCTCCACTTCATTTGGCATCCTGCAGGTATATATCTGTTATATGAAATAATCACGATATTTTAGATGCAATTATTAAATATATTAATTTTCCTATATCATAACTATGCACAGAGGGTACACAGAAATGGTGCGTCTATTGCTAGCATACAGAGCAGATATCAACCAGCGGGATTGTCTTGGAAACACACCATTGCATCTAGCAGCCTGTACTAGTAAAACATCAGTCGTGACACTGCTTTTGAAGGGCGGTACTGACGTGCTCTCCTCTGATGCATTTGGATGCAATCCTTTACAGTTGGCACAATCGAAATTAAGGATGCTCCAGAACTGCAGAGGGTCTGATATGAAAAAGGTCAAGGATGAAGTACACAATGTTGTAGGAATGTTACTTGCATATCTACAAAAACAAAGAGATGCGCGCGATCAGGTTGAAGTTTTAAGTACATTTTGCTCCCGCCTTTCACTCTCAAACACTTCCGACGAGGTTCAGGATGACGTCAGAGATTTATTGGCCAACATAAACTCTCTCAGTCTGACGAATTAAATCGTTCACATTATTTTAATTCAATTTCCCTATTCTTTGTCTTTAATTTCATTTGATTCATTCTGGTACTCCTGAATAATAGGTTTTGGGAAAAGTTAACGTCAGTTCTCAAGAATCAAAATCATTTGTTATAAATAATTATCATTCGCAAGATTAACAGACTCCATAAAATTTGCTCACCAACTACTTATTGACCATTTTTATAAAAATGATGCATAGTTGCAAAAATCATACATTGCAATGTTTGTCTTGTGGTTAGCATATTTCAAAAAGTTGGATTAAACCTCGTATGAAAGTTATTGTATACAGTGTAAGAAACGTGTCCAGATAATTAGAATCAATTGTTCTATTTACAATATTGAATCAGTAAATCTCATATAGGTCCATAGATGGTATAGGTACAGGAATGGAGTAGAACTTGCAGTTATACCAGTATAGTAGATACATATGTAATAATGCGATCAAAACGACTCCTTAAACTTTCAACTCATCTTGAACAATTTCTATTAGGAATTTTGTGTTTAACGAAAGCAAAAAGAGGAAATACGTATGATAAATTAACGTTCGATATTGAAGGGAGCCTACAATTTTTCATTGACACGTGATACGCATCAAAGTTTTCTGTATGTCGACCATTATATAACTGGAAATATTAAGATGTATTTTTATTTTTATGAAATTATATCCTCTATTATTGTATACATTACTCACGGTACTTTTACTCAAATGTTAAAAACAATTTAACTACATCTCCACGAGTCTTTTACTCATTCTCGGGTTGAATGTCATTGTCAAAAGCTGTAGATACCCCATGTAATAATAATAATAATATCAAGAGACTCGGACAAGTCTCTTACATTTTCTTATACATATTGGTCTTGTGTTAATAGTAAGCGTAAATATTATATACAATATTATATGTATACATAAATTAGATTTTGGTGAATAAAAATAATACATTATCTTATATTCTTGTAAATACCTACTATTTTTCCCGGTACAAAAAAGTACATAGGCTCAATATACTATAGTACTATAGGAATTAGTAACTGGAAAATATAATAGTAAAACTGTCGAAAATGTGCAATAAAAACGCATTTTTATTTCTACAATATTTTGCAATATTCGCAATAACATCAGATTAATATTTTTTATAGATCTCTCTTGTAAATAGAATCTTCATTTAAAAGAAAAACAATCACTATTATAAACATACGAAATCAACAATCGCGCATCTGCCGTGGTTTCTGGAACAAGTATTAATAAATGAACCGACATTCGGCAGAGGTCTAAATATTTTTTGTCGCATTAGGAAATTCATGGAATTTCGTGCCTTGACAAAATACTATAATTAGTCAAATATTTAACAGGAATTCTCTAAAAGCTCGAGAAATCATTCTAGCCTATTATAGACTGCTACCCAAATACTGTCTCTGGCTTATTATCTTGGCACCAACTTCGTAATACTTGTATATGCCTTTAATGTTTAAATTATTTTGTATATATTTTCTAGAATAATTCAACATATAGTGTCCGTACGAAGACAATCGAATGAGCATGAAAAAAGAGGCTCTATATGTGTGGGCAGAGTATATTTTTTAAAGTATAATTTTGTTGTATAATCATCATTAATACAACGAATAGTGGCTGATGGAAGAAAATGGAAAAAAATAGAAGGGAATGAGATTCTCCTTCCAAGATACTCGATAAACTATCGGCTCCACACGTGGAGCTCCTTTTTATTTAAATCTATTTCTTCTTTTTTTTAACGATTAGACACAGAAGATGGGACAATTACGTCGTATCAAGTTGCCGAGCTGAACCAAAAATCTTACCAAAATAGTGCTCTCTCTCTTTCTAATTCTTATTGATAACTATAATGACTTGTTGAAATGACAATATTTGATATGTGCGACGTGAAATAACGAAATAGAATAGTATTGTGATTTATTTGTTGGATTGTGGGTATAAATATTAATAAAGTGAAATTATAGAAGCTCAGTCGGCATAACTCACTATGAAGTGCCGATTTACCGCGTAAATACGCATTTACTCATCTTTTCTAAGTATCAATAGAATAACGTATAGTCGGTCCCTGAGTTCGATGTGTTTTTTTGACACGTCGAAACCAATAACATCTCTATGAAGGTGCACGTATCACTACATAATATGTTTTTTACAAAGTGTGCACCTACATGGTTTTGCACTAAATATATTTTATTGTTCTGTCTCAACATATATTTACGTTCGTCTATGGAAAACCGTGTGTGATTTGTTAAGAATTACATTGCTTACGACGTGCAAAAAAAAGACATTGAACTCGTAGATCGTGTTCTTACAACCTTAAAATCTAGTCGTTAATGTTTCATTTCTTGCTCTTTAATTCGTTTAATCGAAATAATTTTAATAGAGGAATGTTTGAAACAATCTTCAAATGCGGATACCCAAACGACTAAAGATAAATTTAATAATTCTGTTTTGTCGTTGGGCATCATTTTATTTAAAATGGATTATTAAACATTTCTATATTTATTGAGCGCTAATATAAGTAGGATGATAATAGTCACTTCCCATTTTGATAAGTAGAAAAGTTATGATCATGAGCAATTGGAATGAATCAATGAAATAATAAAAATAAATTCTATGATATTTTACAACCATTCATTATGTTTCATTTATCTGAAGATTTAGTAACTTATAAAAATTATGTTTAAAAATAGAAAGTGACTTTATTAATCAGCCCGCATTGAACCTACTTTATTTTATTCATGGCTGATAAAGTGAATCCTGAGTGATTCTTTGATGCGATGGTTCTAGCCACTTCTAATTGAATTTTCACTATTCATTGTTAGGTCCCTGACACGATTTATGACTTAAGGGATCCTATAAATTCTAAAGACAATCATATTCCGCATTTTTCTCAATGATTGCTTTCACTGTTTTGATTCAAGTACCTGGATCTTTGACTCACTGAAGTTATTCAATGATCATATCACGGAGTCATGACTGTTGCCAGAGACGGAAATACTTCAGCCTGAAGAGGTCCATAATCCACTTCTTCTCCATCCACAGTTAAATGACCTATAGGACCATTAACTTCCGGTTCTATACGAAAAGCTTGTACTGGAATCATTTCCACTCCAGAGCATGTTAGATGAGTCCCACTACTTAGACCCAGTAGAAACTGATAAATAAACGAAGAACCATATAATCTAATGGTTCATATTTGACATAGTTACTAATCGATTTGTTATCTTACTTGAAGCAAATTTGCTCTGGTGATACCCGCTCTCACAATAAGTAACCAGATGACACCATCAGCTAATCTAGCACGTGGTGCAAAAAAACAATCTTGCGCCAAGTGCGTTTGGTAAGCTGCATGCACCATTACAAAGTTTCCTAGAATTAAATAAATGACCATCTGTTAATTTTTAATATTTTTTCATATCATACTATGGAAGATCATAGGTCACCTTTAATTTGAATCCATGTACTTGGAAGCTGAGCCGTCAAAGCCGGTGTCTTGCCGGGGGGACCGTAAATGATTCGATTGTCGGTATTTTCAGCACCTAAGTTTGGTGATAAGTCTTTTTAAAACATGCGTATGGAATATTAATTAAATTTCGCCCTCGAATTAGATACACACATTGTCCGATGCCATCAGATTCATTAACGCTATGATAACTTGACATTGCACCGGCGCTAAAGTAGGTTGACTTTCTAGAAGTTGCAGAATAGAAACTGTCCAGTCTATGCCTACTTTGCTTTTCGGTTTCCAAAGAAAGACTTTCGGTTATCACTTCATCTTCATCATCAAAATCATTAGATCCACTCTCTGCGCCATTAGAATTACTGTCTAGTGCATCATGGTAACTCCTGGACTCCCTAACACTCCCATATCTGAGAATACTTATAATATCTATTATAGATTCTAGATTATCTAGACGTTTCTATAAATATCTTTCGCATTATAACCGACAAATAAGTAGCTTACCGATCTAACTCATCGCCGTAACTCCTAGAGTGTGAAATCTTCCCATCATCTATATGATCCTGTTCATAAAGGCTCTCATTACTCTCAGACAGGGGTAATTTTTCACAAGGGAGATATGAAACTTTGCCTTTGTAGGTACGTAGCCCAATAAGACGTGCTACGCTCCATACTGTGAATCTCTGACCGCCAATGACACGAAGACGTTCACTCTCTATATCAATATCAGCCAAAAAACCCCAGCCAACAGAGAGAAATGAAAACATTATTTGACTTCTTGTTTCTATACGTATTAAGTCTATTGGTGTTTTTTTGCTTTTGACTACTGACAGAGCACTGATTAGCATCGGGTTAGGATCGTATGGCTCCCTAAAAGATAATTATGATTAGTACAATTTCATTTATTATAAATCAAAGGACTTACTGTTTAGCATGTGCTATGGACTTTGCTAAGCCATTCCCAGATCCGCAGGGTATTACACCTAGGGGTAACTCTTTGACTGCTTTCTCCCAATCAGGCCTCTCGAAAATTCCATTAATAACTTCGAAGAGAATACCATCTCCACCAACAGCAAGTATACCACACCATTGATATATATCTTTCGTGCGAACAAATTCACGAGCATAATTTGGATATTTTGTGATATGAATATCATAATGCCGTTCTGCCTCAGAAAGTATTGGATGGATTCTTCGTTGAAAAGTCTCTCTACCCCGTCCAGGCCCAGATTTTGGATTCAGAAGTACTAGCAACTTCTTTTGCTCACCAGGGCAAGCTAAATCAAAAACGTAACATTTATTAAGATTTGTATCATACACCAAATTATAAATTTTCTAATATCAAACTAAAAACTAGATTCCTACCCTCTTAATTGATAAAATATTTGTCAATACAGATACTACAGAATGAAAGTTTAGTTAGATAATAGTAGCTGATAGTATTGGACATTATTGTTCTAATGAAACTAAATTGCTTAATCATTAAAAGCTATATTTATGTGCAAAGAGTTATTTAAAATGCTCATTATACAAATTTGACTATGAAATTTATTCCAATTACAACCATTGATCTTTGTTGAGATCAGGAATTTAATTTAGTTCAGGTAGTGATAAAGTTCAATGATATCAAATACTACAAAAAAAAAAACAATAAAAATAAAATAAGAAGTGGATATGTTTTGTTTCTTTGTATGGGTCCGTAGTCCAAACTAAGCTGCATAATCAAAAGGAAATCTACTAGAGCTAAATATGTACCATAAATTGAAATCTGTCCTGATCATTTTTATCATAATATCATTAAATTGTAAATAAGAACGGGATGCTTATTTCATATTAAAAAATACGAAAGGATCGTAAGAGTAACTTTTATCAAGCACAAAATCCGCTAATGACTCTTGCATCAATAATACCGTTTGTATTGTTTACAAAAGATCTTTAATCTTGAGTTTTCAATTTGAAAATAGAAAGACAACAAAATGACGCACAAGAAGCTATTTGTTTAGTTGCTTCCCTAACAACCAAAAGAGCCATATTTCAGTATAATGCCGGCACAATAGCAGTACACTTTCCTTGATGCTGTTGTTTTACTGGCAATATGTTAAGATATTTTGGGATAAAAAGTTTTTGGTTTTCTGGCTTCATAGTTTTCTTGAAAATGTAGATTCAAGCCGCTAAAGTCAATATGCTTTGTTTATCTTAAGTCTAAAATATAGATAAGGATTGACTTAATGATAACACATTTCTTAATATATTTCTTATCCATAGTCTTTTCTTATAAATCAGATACAAATAAAAAGGAGAAAAGACACTGCAAAGAATATAGATCGCGTTAAAGCAAATAAAATAGACTTTGTACACCTTGTAGTTTGTATCATGTACAGACAACGATATCTCCATTACGCAGGAGAATTTCACTTTCATTTAATTCCCGCTTCGCAGCGAAAGTCGCGCTTCCGTGTCGACCCGTTTTTAGTTTCCTTTAAGTAGTAGGACAGGTAATAACATCACTTATTACTACTACTTACTGCTACTTAAAAACTGAGTACGTTGCGATACTTAAGTTTTACGTGGATTTCATGGCCATCTGACATCGACAGATAGCATTTAATAAAAACACTTAGAGCGAATGTTTTTATGGTATAAATACCTGAGTAAACCGACTATATAATCTGTTTAGCACGTTACTCATTGTTAGGCACGTACGGATTGATAAGTTTCTACTTAGTATACAATAAATATGAGCTCTTGATGATTATGATTTTTTATCGTGATTTTTGTTTAAAAAAATGTTGTACAGTAAGTTACGGCTGCTACTATGCAGAATCTTAGTACGTTAAGACATACATATAGTTCGCACATGGCTGAAGGATAAATGTACGAGTCAATTTGGCGAGACAAAGTACAGCAGAGTTTTACTTAACAAAACAGAGAACGTCAAGATGCTAGTCATTTATCTTCCATTTCAAGAATTTCATGTCATGCACGTAGAATGTTTGAAAGGAAACTAAAAAATGAGCAAACACTTTAACTAATTTCATCGACTCCTTGAACTACGACGAATGTATTAATGACGCAGTTTACTTCCTTTTTTACATATTCCAGCAGATTTGAATTTAAAAAAAGTGTCGATGTGTAGGATCGTACAAAGAAGCTGACACAAGTAGAATTTTTTTCTCTAGCAAAGTTCATACTTTCAGCATTCTACGACGTAAAGGAGTATTATTTTCTACGGGACTGAATTAAGAAAATTATATAGGAAAACGTAATGAGAGAAACTAAGCTACAATACACTAATGGGAGGTACATATACGTTGAGGCAGATCAGGGATTGTTAAGTTAGCATTATGTAATTGTGCAGTAGTAGATTATAATTTCTCATGTAATGTCAACTGCTGGTTGTTATGTCAGTGACATCTTGCAGTTCCGTTAAGCAAGTCCTGTTTTCATATCATATCTATACGTGGGTCGCAACTTTGGAGTATCACGGTCAAGTATAGCTCAGCATCAGAGTCCATAGGTTGTTATAACGTTACGTAATAGGAATGTAAAATCTTTCTTGCTATAAAATTAATGTGATTCTTCCGAACTTAACTGTGATTAATTCATTGAGTCTGGTTTCCCGGTTACTTTGTTTTTGAATGGTAGACTCATAACTACGTATTTCTCAGGGCCCGTTCTACAAACACAATTTATTGTTTAAACTCGGTTTAACTGTACGATTAGCGAATCAGTTGCATTTCTAAAATAAATCGAGTTTAAACAATAAACCGTGTTTATGAAATCAAGGTTTATTTATCTATTTTGTATATCGTAAGTTGTACCCGTATATACATTATTGTACATACTATAGCTTGTATCTATAATTATGATATAGTACGTTCTAAGTTCTCCCAGAATCTTTTTACCGTTATAGGTACAATTAGCTCACCTGGTCTGTCGTCATCCAACGAAAATCAGTTTTAATTTGTTAGGAAACAAGTACTTCGTTTATGTATGCTCTTATATAATGTAATGATTATGCAGCTTTAACGCATATAATTATATTTCATTAAGAGAGATTATGTAAATACAATTTCATTATTTGTCCTATGTTTCTTCAAACCCATTCACATGCATCATTAGTAAGGAATTATGTGAATGGCAATTGAAGATTGGAATATAATATTGTCATCAATAACCCATTAAGAATCATACAGTAAACAGATATGTGGTTTCAGATAAAATACAACGTATGAAAATGAATGCGTTGTAATTATTCTTACCAATTGTATATTAATTATAGCAGATTAAACTATAAGGTTTATGACTTACCATTTAGTAATGATTCTAAATTACCATGAGTGGGGCTCATTAGCATCTTTGGCACAGGCATTCTGGCAACTAGACATTTTATTGCCAATCTCCATCTACTTGCCTCTCTCAAGTTATCCTCATACTTATCAAAACTTCGAAAACGTAATGTGATTGTCGTTCTCTCGCGTCTTCTTGCACCTTTCACTCGTGCCTTCTTCAAAATATATGCATAGATATAAAGGTATGCTGAAGTATCATATTCATCGTATGGCAGGAAATTCTCTGTTGATTCAACAACCCTCAGTTGTATCTTGGAAGCTCCAGGACGACAGGCACAACTATCAGCACTACGCTTTTTTGAGCACATACATCGACAGCCTATTATGTCGTTCAAAGCTATTGTCTCAGTCTTGGTGGAACCATTGCTCTCCTTTTGCAAACTTAAACCCTTTTCAGTAAGTTTTACACGATAGAATGTGTTTTTCTTTGATGTTATGTAAAATGTTTCTTCAAGTACAGTACTTGAGCAAATTTGTCCATCTCCCGCCATACTGATAATATGTAACAACAATATCATTAAATTATAAAATATTGTATGATATATATACACACACACACACACACACACACACACACACACACACACATATACATGCATAAAGACACAGGATTTCATTAATGAATTTCAATAATAGTTATTGGCTAACTTGCTCACCGATGCAGAACATTAACAGTTGTATGACTTGCATACACATACTTAACAAACTTTAATGCTCAATTGACAAACTGCCATGCCAGAATTTATAATCGTCATAATGTGTACTTGAAGCAAATAGTATACATATAATAAACTCTAATGGGTTTAGGAACTTTACACACTCAGATATTCCTTTTGAATAATATAGGTGCATACCTGCCACAGGCGAATTTTAATCAACAGATAGATTAAAAGCGATTGGCTTTCCTTTATTGACTCGTAGGATAAAGGCAACTGAAACAGTTTACGTTCAAAATTTACATGACTTTCAAACTATTGACATCATTCATTTTTCTTGAGTATCATAAAAATTAAAGTATGCTGGATTATCACGTTATGACACGCCTAGTCTCTATGATGATAAGTACTCTATAATAAAGATACACGACACAGTAAATTATTTTTGTTTATACTTATTCAAAGGTCGATTTAAAGAAAATGTTCTTTTTAAAAATATCTTCCTACTCAATTTCAATTGATATTTTCACAAATAATTCGCTTTTTCCAAAACTCATATATATCAATCATGTTTTATATCTTATTATTTGTGTGTCTCGCGATATTTTCATACGTATTTGTAGAAATAACTTGAGGACATAAGTACAAATCTCACTATGTTATCATTCGGAATTGAACACAAGTTCCGCACCTGATCCCGGCAAAGCAGTCACTGGACTTGGAAATACTTGCAGCACACTCTTCTTTCTTTGATTAAACACTACTCTTCAACCTACCACTTCTTCCGTTTAGCACTTTCATAAGTCAATCGTGCTATCTGCTCCATTCCAGCAGATTTTGGTACATGAAAATTGAGTAGTGCTGCCATCTTTAAGAAAAGAATTAATGTTAATAATATTGTGATTATATTTTCATAATCATTGTACAATTTATTTCCACGAAAAAAGTAATTAAAATATATAGGAATTCGAATAGAAAACAGTGATGATGACGATACTGATGAATATTAAACACTTTTATCATTTTTGTTTCTCTTGGTTTACCGACAGGTGGTATAAGAGTTTAGGATTGGAATAAACAATTGCTGCACCCTATACGGTTTCCGTTTCAATAGTAACGCTGAACATCCCAAGAGAGAGGTTTCTTTCCCGAGGTGTCAAAAATGGTGAGTGGTTGGACGTATTTTGGTTTGCTTGAAAAATCCGACAGCATCCACTATACGGGCGAATTATTTAGACCGTGTGGTTGACAAGCTTGGAGCTAATATTGTCCTTTAAATTAATCCTAATGAATTTTATTTTCAGGGTATAGACATTAATCATAAACACGATCGCAAAGTCCGGCGTACGGAGCCCAAGTCACAGGATGTCTACCTGCGACTCCTCGTCAAGGTATCTATTTCTTTCTATTCTTATTTTTATAAATCAATGGATTCTCTTATATATTTTGAATTTCAGTTGTATTTATCAATATTAGTTTTGTTAATATACACATCTTCTATGAATTGGTGTTTTCATAAGTTATGATGTTGTTTGTGTAGCAGGAGGGACACGTGTAGTAACGTAGCTCCTCTGTGTTACTATAATTTTATATCTATAAGCGGACCGCACTCTGTGTCAGTCTGGAATGGACTGGTTCAATTTGAATGTTCGCAAGAGTATATTCAAATCAGCTTTCCTATTCCGGCTTTCAACATTAGTTGAAAGTCGTTTATATTAGCTGATACAGTTTTTATATTCAAGAGTTAGCATTTACTTAATTATATTCTTTTGTTACATTAACTAAAAATTTAATAATTTTTTCACAGCTATACCGGTTCCTGGCTCGTCGTACAAATAGCAAATTTAACAAGATCATTCTGAAACGTCTCTTTATGAGTAAAATCAACCGCCCACCAATTTCTTTGGCACGTGTTGTCAGATTTATGAAGAAACCTGGACGTGAGAATAGTATCGCAGTCATTGTAGGTACAGTGACAGATGATGCTAGAATCTTTGAAGTTCCCAAATTGACGGTAAGTTATTTGATACATATTTTCATTAGACTGTGAATTATAAATAAGCTTATTTCGTCAATGGCTTCTTAGGTATGCGCTCTGCGTATCACTGAGAAGGCCAGAGGTCGCATCCTAAAGGCAGGTGGTGAGATTATCACTTTCGACCAATTGGCTCTGCGTGCTCCTACTGGAAAACGCACTGTTTTGATGCAAGGGCGTCGTAACGCTCGTGAGGCTGTCAAACACTTTGGACCAGCTCCAGGTGTTCCACATTCTCATACAAAACCCCTTGTGCGATCAAAGGGTCGTAAGTTCGAAAGGGCCAGAGGTCGCAGGCGTAGCTGCGGCTACAAGAAGTAAAGAACTTCTATCTACCATCATTTATTGTACCATTGATTGTATAATGGAAAATAAATTATGGTATCTTTACAAAAATTAATTCACATATTTCCATTCATTTTCCTGTAATAGGATTATCACTTAATAAAAAAATGTCAAATAAACTTTTTTACTCAATTTTATTCAACTAATTGGGGGCTTTGACAATATTTTTATTAATATACAGTAAAATAAAATACAGTAAAACTTGTTATTAACTTATTTCATTATTCTGATCTATCTTATTACATTGTAATTAAACATATCTTTTAAAAACATTAAGTTTTACTTGGTTTTAACTTTGAAATGTTCTAATATTAGTGGAATTATAGCAAGTTCTACTATAAAGAAACTTATTTCCAAGTTAACTTACCGCGAATTTACCGAACTTCCAAATTCTACAAAGGCATATTAAAGTAATAAGAATTTTTATTCTGCTAATACAATTCTTGAATAGTAGTATGAATATATAATCACTCACATTAACTGCTTCACCATTTTCGTTTACAACACCTTCTACTTCAAGTTCCTCTAGTTTCTCATCATCATCTGACTGTACGTCATCCACGATTCCAACTATTGGAAAATACAAGAGTGATTCTTCAATAGCCTTTTCTGGACAGTCGCTAACATGATATGGACCAATACCAGCGAACGTTAGGAAAACTTCGGAACTTATTTTTTTTACAACACAAACAAATGTCTCATACCTAAAACAGGTATATAATCTCATTATTAGAAAACTGGGATAAGCAAATTATAACTGACCCAGTTTTTTCTGAAGAGTATTCCTCAAATTCTTCAATAGATGAAGCTATTTGTTTCGCATCCGGTGGTTTGTCTCGTTCAAAAACACCAAAATTTACTAATTCGCTATTATACATTTCTAGTATTATTTTTAAATCGTTTTTCTTTGTAGAATCATATTTAAATACAATTATAGGGTATTTATCACCTTTATCCTCATACTGAAATTTTAATAAAGTCATATTGAGAACCATTTTTTATACTTATTTATAAATTAGTATTTACTGGATATGTGGTGTCAATATATTTGCGAAATATTGTTTTAAACATTATGGCTTTATTTCTTGGATTTGGTGGTGCCCATATCACTGGAAATATTACATTTTCTTTTCCACTAGGTATAAATGCCGGATGATGTCGTTCCGCGTAGCTTGAAGCCAAAAAATAATGATACATAAAATCTTTTAACCCTTCATACAGTAAAAATACAAATAGATTTACCATCCTTCGGCAAACGTCTGGCCAAGTTCTGGCAAAATAGGTTCACCAAATAATAGACTCAGCAAATATTTTTCCACGTCCATCTCTTTCTTTTTATCATTAATTTTCAATCTCATGCACATACATTTTCCATCCAAAAGTAATTGTTTAGCGTCCTCAGTCAACACATAGTCTGACTATATGCATAGAGGAAAAATAAAAGAGAAGTCCAGTTGAATATTTTACATTTGAAAAGAGTATTTTCGTACCTCGTCACATAATGTCATAAGAATGTCGTCATCCAGTCTTTTTCGAAATTGTTCCTCTACAATGTAATTGTCTGGCAAAAGGTCCTCAATAAGTTCCATGTATGGTGGACTTGATTTTTTGTCTCTTCGGTGTCCTTCTTCATCTTTGAATACCCATGGATAAATTATAAGACATGTCTCCAAGCATAATGAATTTATCAAATGTGACATTTCTGCTTCGTACTTAGCTTTAGCCTCAGCTTCTACGTGTTTGAATAATACTTGTTATATTTAATTAACCAAATACTTTTTATTATTGTATGCATTTTAACCTTTCTTTGCTTTCTTAGCTGCTTCTTTAGCTAGTCTGGTTTCTTCTAGAATTTGCAAACGTTTCTCTTCCTCTGGACTTCTTTCAGATACGGGTAACGAGAATCTATGTGATCAATCATCTATGATGAAGAAATATCTTTAATTATAATTACTATTAACAAGTAAAAAGTAAATATACTCAGGTTCCCCTCCATCAGCTATTCTCTGGAGTTCCTTAGTGATCATCTTTTGCAGTTCTGGACAATGAGCACCAAACATGAGGTTTACCATGCGACCCTCCTATAGACGATATTGCAATATATAAGTATATTATGCCATTTTTAATTATAATTTAAAATATGGAAAAATGATATACCTACATAGATAAACATCCAAGTAGGCTCACTTTTGCCTCTAAATCGCGCCAAATCGCTGATTTCATCACATTTAGCCTAAGAATGTCACATAAACCTTTCACATCAGTAACTATAATTAAGTTGTAAACAATTATATTGATCATACATGCTTCCTATAAATGAGGGTCATCCATTTCAATGAACGATTTATATATAAAGATTTAAAACTATTGAAATCACTTCCTTGAGTAATCAAAAAGATAAGAATCAATTAACTCCAAAGATATTTAAAAAAGAATTCAAGAGGTTCCAACAAGTCATTGCATGTCTGTCTAATAATAGTAGAAGAAATATAATTACAATAGCATAAGTAAGTGTATCTCCACCAATTTCCATTTTTATTTTCTTCAATATGCTCACCATACCGGTACAAGGACCACTCCAATCCGAGAAAACATCAACAACTGTTTGGTTTCCAAAGTGTTATAATTTAATAAGCAATATTATATACGTATGCATACTTATTATCAATAATATAATATAACTTGCCTACTAGACCTTTTCTCTCTAAGATTTTAGCCCATTCTTCATCATTAGATACTTCAGTCTGTAGAGCAGCTGGGACGTTTTTCTTAGCCATTTTTCTCGCGGCACTAATACCACCCTAAAATCATAGGTAATATACAATAAAGACGATGCAAATTTATTATGGTATTAAAAATAAGTATTAAAAATTATCAAGATAAAGATAAAGTCTATAAATTATTTGTAAAGGTGACTTTTATCCTCGTACCCTCCTCCGGCCAAGCATTCTCATGTATTATCAATAGACCTTATTTTTATTTAAATTTCCAAAGACTAAAAGACTTTTCTAGTTTCTATCTCGACTTCTCAAGACGAACTGCATCGTGTCTCTAATATCCTGGCTAAACCTATTTCGTAATAATAGTATCTTCAACTTCAAAGTGTGCACGGGGACATCGGTGACATCGAGAGCACGCGAAGTCTTATAGATAAACATTAGCGAACTCAGACACGAATACGAAGATGGATAATTATAGTGGATGAGGATGCGGGGTTAGCGGGGAAACCTGACTAGTTATATTAGCAGGGAGACGGTCTTCTAATAATGATATAATAGCTCTAACGATAGTGACATGCCAAAAAGTAATTAAGAAAATGTAAAAAGAAATATCATTTATCAACATTAAACTCCAATCTCGATTAGACACAATGTATTGAAGACAAACGTAAACGTGATTTGAAGTATATCAAATAAAATCGATTTGATTTCTGTATACTATAAAATAATATGTAAATAATATTGTATAGTATGTTACGTGCTTGCATAGAATTATGGTAAGTATATATCCAAATCCTTGAAAATTCCTAAGGGTTCCTTGGAATGGTGCAATGCGTGAAGGATATAATAATTATATGATTTGACCTACCAGAATATCCATTTTCGAGGATTAATATATAATTCCGCTATTGTAGGTTAATTGTTCAAGATGATTTAATGATAATAATTCTCAATATTTCCTTATACGATTGAATCTAAGACAGAGTGTGGCTGCGCCGTTCAGGACGAGAAACACGCGAATACAGAAACCAGAGTGGCTGTTTAGTGATATCGGTATATAGATACTGATATATAGATATAGAGCCACATACAAAGGAACTTCTTAATAAAACGGCATTGCGTCAATATTTGTCGCCGTTTAGAATCCCTATTCTTTTTTTCGATTTACATATTATCAGAGTGACAAGTGTCCTTGATTTAAGATTATTATCATAAATCATCACATATCTGGTTTGAATTATTTAATGACCATTTGGTTCGTGGTGTCAAGAGTTGAAAATGCTGTGCGAGAACAATATATTTTCTCTTGAAAAGGAACAGTATATATAAATATGTATATTTGGAGGCTAGTACACATTATAGAAAATAATTTCGTCATATTGTGGATTTCTGTACAGATTTATTATGAATACGTTTATGCCAATGGAAATTATTGCAAGTAATGATTATTGCGTGACCTCTTAATAGAGGCAATCCATTGTTAAAATAGTTGATAATTAATCGCAGACTTTGTTCTTGTATCTTCGTGATTTATATTAGTAATGAAACCAAGATGGACAATCTATCGTATTGTTTTACCGGCTGATGACGATTTATCAGGACAATAGGAAAATCTATTTATTTGTAATATATTGTGTTTAGTCATAAATAAGTTGCGTTGCAGGTAAATAAATACTATTTTAAAACTCAACTTATTTATAACTCAATCCAATATATAGATATAAAGGTATATAAAGGACTTTTGGTACCTTTGGTTTTACAAAACACCTTTATTTCTATCGAAGGACCGTACTTACTATATGATATTAATTGATTCTTTGGATTTTCTTCAAGGATTTGGAAATATTACAGCTGTGGTGGTGAGAAGTATCCGTAGTCACGTAAAGAAGGAAACATTTGTACTCGTTGCCTGGGATACATATAGCAACCTGGAGAATACAATCGACTATATAAGTAGTAAAGAATAAGTGACTTCGATAACATTTTATCTTTGTTATTCTTTCCTGGATTAATTTCCTGATCAATTTTAATAACTAATATTGAAATTAATTTAAACGCATCAATATAGTCTAGGGTGTATCATGGTCTAGGGTATATATATACTTATTGGTGTTATTAGTTTGCATAATATATTTGCATTAGCCGGCTAGGGGCTGAGACGAAGTAAGAAAACGCTGTGAATATTACAATAATGTTATGAAATATTAAAATACTGAAAGTATAATACGACATTGTATATATAGAAAATAAAGGATTTCATTTATACTTATTTAATTGACATACAAATTCTTACTATCTGCCACAAACGAAATGACCTCTGCTGGTAAACAAGTATCTTGTTTCGATAATGCCACGATATTGTAATAATAGAAGCTATATCATTGATCATTGGTAGTATTTTATTTACTATATTGTTTGGAGTAAATCGAGTATAAATGTTAATGATATAAAGATGCATTGAAATTTAGTAACTGATTGTGATATCAATGAGTCTTTACCAGTCATCAGCTGTAAAATGACAGATAGAATAAAAATGGCTGAAAATGGGTTGGGATCTGATGTTGGATCAGTGGAAAATCTTGCTACCGAGGCGATTAACTTAGATATTGAAGAGGTACTTGGAAATAGTTAGGTCTTATTGTATGTGTGCAAAAATTTGAATATTATTCATGATTTTTAAATAGACTGAATGTTTCTTGTTTTTGAGGTTATAGTCCTTCCCCTTCTTAATGAACAATACTTGCTATTGCTATTGCTTATTTCATTTTATATTGTTACATCGCCTTAACGATAAGTCTAAATATACTAAATGCATGATTGTAACTTATGGTGCTATAATTGACCATCTAAATTAAACTCGAAGTTTGAAATTATTATAAAATATTAACAAAAAATAATTCTTATATCTCATTAATTTTTAATATTTATAGCTTGACGATGCAGAGTATGCAATACCAGCTGTGGAGGAATTACCCTCCTTAGAAAGTATCTTGACTGAACCAGATTGTGGTTCACTCTCAGGAACAGAAGATGATTTAGCTTCAACATCTATAGAAAAATTAGGAGGTAGTGAAACTGCTAGTGTTGGCAGTCTCCTGTCTTTAAACTCTTTAAGTAAATCTCTAAGACCTCCACAGCCACCATCATCTGGAGCAATTTTACGACACATCATCCTCAGAGGAATATCTTCTCAGATAGTATCTGCTAGTGTAAATATTAAAGAAATATGAATAAATAGTTAGGCTATAATTATTTCAATTTCACATTACAGTAAAAAAAATATTTTGCAGGAACGAGTTAATGCTGGCTTGGCTAGTGCTGTTGCTGCTGGTGGCAATATGTTAGTTATAGGTACAAGTCATGGACTGGTCTTAGGCTTTGATTCATCTCAAACTTTAAGATGGTGTGATCAAGAAGCAAGACATCAAGGTTCAGTGTCTGCATTAGGATTCAATCATGACGGTAGCAGACTCCTTGCAGGTTTTGCAAGGGGACATATTTTAATGATAGATAGTGTTAACGGAAAGGTTCTAAGAACATTAACAGAGGTTCATCCACCTGGCACTGCTGTATTACATGTTAAAGTAAGGATCACCGCCACTTTAATACAACTAATAAAAACAATATCAATTATAATAAACTTTTTAGTTCACAGACTCACCAAAACTAGCTCTGTGCAGTGATAGTGGCGGTTCTGTATTCGAATTAAGTTTCACACGAGTAATGGGAGTTCGTGGTTGCGACAGCAAGTGTCTTTTTAGTGGATCCAGAGGAGAAGTATGCACCCTGGAACCATTACTGTTAAATCGCTTACCTACGCATCCGCTAAAAAATTATACACTGGTAGCCATGGCCACGCTGTCAAAGGTCTGTCTTTACCTTTGTTATATTTAGTACCTGAATAGATTTTAATGAAAAAAAAGACTAACTTCTTACCCTATTTAAAGGTAATAGTTGTGTGCATAAGGCCACGAATGCGAGTGGTGTTAACACATGCATTAAGTGGTCTATCAGTTTCACCACCTCAAGTATCCTGGCAACTTGTTGTTATACAAACTGCTGATGCTTCTCGTGTAGTCGATCCTGTTTTGGCACTTGCCAGAGACAATATTGTGCATTTTTACCAGGTAATTCTAAGTCTATAATGATATTACATATCAAAAGAACATCTATAAAGTCATACATCCTTATACAGGTGTGTACAGAAGCAGGATCCAGAGTACGATTATCTCCTCTACAAAGGGTCATACTTCCATACACAATCAGCAATTTACGTTGGCTAAATGCAAGATCTTTAGCAATGCTGGACACGCAGGAAAGATTACACTTGATGGATGTTAGAACGCAGGATAATCTTGAAACATTAGATATGAGTCGTGTAGGGATCTCATATGCATCGAGTCATTTTAAGGGATTATCCACAGGAGGAAATGTTTCTAAGGTAGAAGAAATTGTTTAAATAATGAACTTACAAGTAATGACTTCAACTGTTTCTAATCTCTAATACGTCATTCATTAGGCAATGGCTTTAGCTGGAGAACGAGCATGTTACAATACAGTGATACCCTGTGGAAACCAGCTTTTATTATTAGGAACCAAAAGTATACATGCAGTGAGCATAAGAACTTGGACAGAAAGGCTACGTCATTTAACTCTTCAAGTCTGTATTAATTAAATGAAAATTAAAATAATTTTTCACTTTGTGATACATTTTTTTGGACTTTTAGAGACGGTTTATTGAAGCTCTTACTTTGGGTCTTTCTTTCTATCAAGACAAAGGAAAGGCAGTGGTGGGTCTACGCGGATCTAAGCAACGCCGTAAGCAAATAGCTCGCGATAAAGTTTGCCAAGTTCTTATTCAGTATATGGATGAGCTTAATCATACTCCTACGGATGACAATACGGATTCAGAGATAGTATCTATCTGCGTGGATTATTGTGTTCAGCTGGAGAATGCAGAATTGCTATTTGGAAGACTATGGGACTTAGTATCCGAGTCTGATGGACTTAAAGGAACTTTTTTACGCGTTTTGGAAGCTCCACTACTTGATGGTAGCCTTCAGCCACGATTACCACCTTTGATAGCTCAACAGTTAGTTACTCTTTATGAACAAGAAAATAGAATGGATTCATTACAGGCTATTATAATTTTATTGGATGTTGATTGCTTGGATATTCATCAGGTATTCTATCATGGGGATCTTTCTAATTATTTAAATAGAATAATGACTTTATTCATGTTTTTTAACCGCAGGTAACAACGGTATGTCGTCAGCGAGGATTGTGGGAAGCGTTAATACATTTGCAAACAACAGCTCTAGGTGACTTCGCTGCTCCTATACATCAGTTAGTACCGGTTCTCCAAAGTTCCATGACTGCTAATAAAGATTCACTAAATCAGGACTGTATAAGACTAGGAAATGCTCTATTAGTATATGCTAGTTGCTGTTTAGCTGGACGTGGATTTCCCAGAGGAGATCTTCCGGACAACGCATCTCAAAGAGCAAAGACAGATATACTCCGGGCGTTACTCTCCCAGCACTCCAGCCTAGCAAATGATATGGAAAGACAGTATCCTTACTTAAGGACTTTGCTGAAGTTTGACGCGAGAGGTTTCCTGGACGTGATTTCCATAGCATTTCAGGAAGCGGAATTCACCTCGGAGATGGGTTTGAGACAGAGGCAGAGACTAGTTGATATTTTATTGACTATTGTAATGCCCAGCACACCACTCAGTCCAAGAAATCCGGATTATCTCACGGATGAGCAGAGAGCTCTAGTGCTAATTTTTATCGCCAATGAAGTGGCAGAAAGTACAGTCACCCTTGAGGCATCTATTCTTAATAGAGTAATCGAAATCCTTTCTACGGAATGTTCGGAGTCCAGTTCAAGAGATCATAAGACTGAGAAGGAAAACACTGTTCTTCGTCTACTACATTCCAAAAAATTGAATAGCATCTCTGACAACACTCTGTTGAATTTAGCACAGCAGGCTAACTTGTAAGTCAAAGTATAGTGCGTCCATGTGAACGAGTTCAGTATACGTATATCATCATCAACACTGTAGATATGGAGTCCTAGTTCCATAAAAATGACCACGCGTAAATCCCACGAGTCCCGTTCATTCGGTCGCACTGTATTATTGAGTTTCGACTAATGCTCATATGTAATAACTTGTATCCTAGTATTTAACGTTGCAGTATGCGAGTCGCAGAACTACTATACAGTGCCAGGGAAGATTGGATTGCTGTGTGTAGATGCATCGTAACTGATTCATCAAGATTCCAGGAGCTTTGGTCTTGGTTGGAAAGACTTCCTACGTCATCTCTTTATTCTGTGATAATGGCCCATTCTCCATCGTTAGTAACAATCGATGCCCCACGATTAGTCAACTTGATAGCTGTTCGAATGCCGGATAAAATTGTTAAGGTCTTGGATAAATTGAAAGACCAGCCAGATTTGGAATACGCTTGGTTAGCAGCTTTGTATCAAGCCGCTCAGTATAAAGAAGAGGATACTAAGATTGAATTGAGTACAGAATTACTTGAAAAATATCTGGAACTCATGTGTCAATTATATCCAGATGATGTAACTATTCTTGCATTATCAGATTCTGTAAATGTCACGCATTTAGTAATTTTTTAAAGAATTTTTTATTTTCCGTAGGTTGTTAAACATATACATGGTCCACATGGTTGTCGTTTGAATGAGGCTTTGAGGATAGTTCGAGAATCAAATCATAAAGATGCAGAAGCTGTGATGCTTGAGAAGCTGGGAAATTATCAGGAAGCTTTTGATCTGCTTTTAAAAAAATTGCAAAGTAGTTTTGATGTGGTATGAGCATTCGTTCTTCCACTTTCATACAGCTACAGTGACTATAATTTAGTATTTTAATTTTTCCACTTTTAGTATTGCCAGAATGATATTTCTGATGATGAGGTTGTCAAAGGTACCACACAGTTAGCTGGATTATGCATAAGATCTCTAGGAACTCTAGATTGGATGCCCTTAGTAGAAACAGTCCTTCGACCCAGTACAGATAATAACGACCAAAAAGGTTTCATTTTTGATACATTATTCACATGTTCCTTGACATATACAAGATTCTGATATAATTTTGTATTCCCAACAGTGGAAAGTCTTAGAGGGAAACTATTAAGAATTGTATTAGAATCGCTTAGTGGTACCACGGCACTGTCCACTGTATTGGAACAAATTCTTAAACATCCACTAGCTACAAGTGGAACGATAGGTGATATAAGGCAATTGCTTACTGGAGTTCTGACGCATACACGTTACGAACAAACGCTCGTTGAAGCAACATCCCGATTAGTAAGTCTGGAGCTACATAAAGCTCTGAAAAAGACTTTAAGGTAAGATCATATGTAAAAATTGTATCTTAACCACATTGTTGATCAGTCACGAGTTAACCCGTGTTGTACTTGCATTAGCTATTTCACTTCCATATTCAATTATGAAATAATAGCCGGTGATATGAAAACTTCTGCGTAAAATTGCCGGTCAACCATGTGCTAATTGAAAGTTCTATTACTAATTTTTTTTATTAAGGGATGCTGGAAAGGCATGTTCAAACACATCAACTATTTGTCCTGTGTGTCGACAAGTGCTTTCTCAATGTACGGATTACTTGATTGTTTTTCACTGTGGTCATGGATATCATGCAGATTGTGTTGGCGAGCCCAAGATGTGCTATAAATGTTTAAATAAAAAAGGCTGGGCTCCTGTTGCCACAAACTTACCACCCACCACCCCAAAGCCCCCAGTACGTATAACATTATTGACTTTTTATAATCAGAAATTTAAAAAATTACTTTTCTACTCTTTCCTACACAGGAGAGAAGACAAATCCTGCCACCAGCTTTTATGCAATCTAGAGATCTTACCCTGCGACTTGCTCCACCTACATCCCTGACAGATCTGGAGGGTATACTTTAAAAGTCTAGTCCCATAGATTCCTTATTTCAATATGAAACCATTTAAAATTAGTGTATACCATTTAAAGAATTAGAATTTTACATTTCTTCCATTGGATCTCTACGTTCTCCCATTCCACACCATTTGAAGTAACATTGGTGTTGTCAAATAGTTTACACCCGCGTTACAATATCAAATATAATATTCCTGTACAAAAAATTGTCCATGCCACCAACGAAATGTTAGTATCCCCAGTAATGATATAATCATCAACTGTTTAAATGGATAAACAGCAAATTAAGATTCAATCTACATTGGATGTTTTATTGGATCATTTCTATTATCTCAATACTCGGATCATCATGTAATTATATATTGTTGTATCATATACATTATGTATTATGTTAATATAAAATTATGCACTACCAATTCTAATCATACGCGTACTACATTCTATCCAGTGACAGAAAAAAACAAAAATCATTGACAAGGTATAATGTTGTTAACTTGGAACTGTACAGATATAAGTTAAATTCTTAGAAGTCTTCATCGGTGCTACTATTGGTATATCAATTTTGCGCCTATTATTTTTTGTAATGAAGACTGGTTTCCTTTGCGTACATTCCACCATCACAGAATTTGGATTTATAGTATCTTGACCGAATAATTCCCCAGTAAGAAGCTTCACCAGAACAGGGAAAGCACTAAGTTCTGAGGTAGTCGTATTAGAAATGGTTAAGAAATCTGCACTTGAAGCAAATTTATCAACAGCTTTATCAAGTTCCAATAGATATGGAGTTATCTTGCATATGGCCAAGTATTGTTGAATCTGCCAAGAACAATAATGCCTTCATTAGTAGTAATTCAAAATAAAATATCACACAATTTATGAGCAATAGGTGTTTTTCTTCTATCGACACACTCGTGTTTTATTTAATCTGCTAAAAGAAACACATGAACGTTAGAAACATGAAAATTATGACAATGTGTACGATCTACAATATAAATTAAACACTAATAGGCACGAGTATTTCGGTTAAAGAAAAACACCCAATAATGACCTTCTCGTCGCATCTTTCAAGGCTACGCAATAAATTTGATATCTCCTCAAAAATAGAGTATCCTTTAGATACGTATTCCTGATCGTATATAACTTCTCCTATTTGTAAGGATACTCTGACAGCATTAGCTTCTTTCCGAATTTTCTCCAAAAGCAGAGATAAAGGAGTTCCAGATATAGTACGACTGGCTACACGTATCTTCGCATATTCTCTATAAACCTGAATCAAATTTTTATTGCTAGAGACGTTTCTTGGACTAATAAAATATAATTGTGTATATACCTGCTTGTTGGCTCGCATCCAGAATGATGAAACTCTGTTAATAAAATATTTAATCTCATTTCTCTCATAGGTATTCAATGTCTCCCCAATTTTTTGAAGACTTTGAATTTTACCAGCGAGCGAATTGGTCGCTTGATTGAACCATTCAAGTTTTATATCTAATTCTGATCCGATAATCACCCCATGTCGAATTTCTAATTGTAATACTGCCAGCTGAGGATACATATCTTAATTTCAAAGACAACGTAATAATAATATTCATTGCACTTACATCTTTCTCAAGAGTTTCGACAAGACAGTAGCTCGACTTATGCTTGGCCTTTAATATTGACTCCTTAATAGCATTGACTGTTGCACTTCCTTTGGGTTGGATCATTAGATTCATTTTCAATTAATATTAATCAAGAACTCTAACAACCTCGAAAACAGGAAACAACAGACAGTCTCGCCGTTGTTCAGAATCAATCATTCATTTGTTTTACGGTCACGATACTTGAGACATCCACAGTAGATTTTGAATACAAAGAACAAATAAATAGTCATAAAAAATCTAATAATGTGACATAAATAATTCAGTATATCGCATAATCTCTTTATCAATCATTTACTTCCTCTTTATTCCATCAGCCTGCCGATTTCCACACTAGACATATACAAACGTCTTTTTATTTAAGATATCTTGTACACAAATCAATTCTGGCTTTAATCATACTATAATAGTGACCACTATTCGTTACATTACTGATATTAATATAACTTGTTTTTTGGCTAGTATTAATTCGTAAAAGTAACATAACGAGGTATCATAAATGACAGCAGGCTATAAATTGGGAGGACAGACGGAAGTGACGGGTCTTTTAAGGAATCGACATCATCTGCGTCTGACCCCTAACTCACCCTTTACTTGGATTGCGATAACGGCATTAACAAATAATTTTTTTTACAATGATCCTGTCAATAATCGCTTCTTTAATTAAGAGTTCCTGATTATTTCCCTAAGAGTCCTAAGCTTAGTTCAGCTAAGAAAATTTACAATTGAATAACTGTTACCGTTCGTTAGTCCTTATCCTTATTACTAGTATCATTAACTTTTTTAAATCATTAATTCGATTTTGCACAAGACACAGACTCACACGCGCACATACACACAGTCTCTCTCTCTCTCTCTCTCTCTCTCTCTCTCTCTTATGCATATATATCATTCGTATCTAACAATGGTTGTATTGAGCAGGAATATCGCTAGAGAACAAGAGTATTAGGCAAAATTTGATCAAAATGTATTTGCTCTCTCTGCGCTATTTCTGCTGACCACAGCCAATCATGGAAAGATACCACACGACATCTATGAAGACTATTGCGCTTTTAGATTATTTGAAAAATAACAGCATTCCTAATTCAGTAATATTGTACAGCAAAGCGTCCCAGGAGGCTGCATGGCTAGCGAGCTGTATACAATTATGAAAACGTATAAAGCTCAAACTTTTATTACAATACAAATTGAAAATAATTAATCAAGTGTTTAGATTGTTGTAGAAAATGAATCCTATGGCCAGAATGAACTTAGGACGGATTATGTGATATTTTTATAATTCTCTTATGCTTTTCACTCTTAAACTTCCACAACGTCTACTCTATTGAGCTGAACGTACTTGATTAATAAAAACTCTATTTATTCTTTGAATATCTTTCATATCATTGAAAAATTATTTCATACAGGAGGCATAAAGAGAGGAAAATAAGCTAAAAGAAAGTAAAGAAATGTAAAAATATCTAGCACGGATCCGCATGCCTTATTGATAAGGGTATAAAAATTGATATTCCACCCTAGCGACTAGGAGCAGCTGATATAACCGAAGTATCCGGTAGCCGACAGTCTCGCAGGAACATTTGAGCCATACATATTATGTATTTATCGTGTATACTATTCGAAATGCAATGAACGAATCACCTTTGGTGAGTCCGAACGGGATCTGTTTTATTTAAATTAGCTATTGCGCCTAAGGAGGTTGCTGATCAGCGAGTCATGAATTTTGACATCTGCCTCCATCGACCCACGAAAAAGATTATACAGTTTTGGTGTAAATTCCCAAGCACACCGTGGATGAGACGTTTCTATCTACGTTGCCAATGATCACGCGAATGATTGTGATACCTATAGTGTGGTGGCCTATAGTTACTGCCGTATCGTGGTCTGCTATGACTTGAAGTATTATAATAGTTCTTCCTGTGGTAACCACTAGGTGCTCGATTCCAGCTCTTTCCGTTCTGGTACTCTTGGAAGGGGTTGTAACCAGCATTTGATCGGCCGTCGTAATCTCGGTGAACTTTTACCTTTTTTACACGACCTCTGTCCATTTCCTCATCGTTAGGGTCAAAGTGTCTTTTACGTTCTTCACGTCGTTCATTATCGACCTCGCGTTCTAGATGAGCTCTTCCACCATTCCAATTGGATACTAAAACAGAAGATATTGATAATGTTACTGTAATACATTTAAAATTGTTGATTTTATTACTGGAATAAGAGACGACACTATTTTTTAAGAGGGTTACGCTGTATATTTCCTTATAATAATATCATTGGATTTAAATTTAGGTGAGACAAGATATTCTAGATTAAAAAATAACTGGCGAGAAATATTTGGAGTGTTGATACCTAATATAAAAATATAATAGATACTGCTTAATTTTCATGGGGATTGATTTTTTCTAATGCAATGAGAAACAATTCTGTTACTAGGTATACCTGGGCTACGGATGATACAAAGAATTAGCTGTAATAGGAAATCTATTTATCCTAACAGAAAGGTCTTTCCTAAAAGCTGGAAAACGGAATTGTTCTGTAATGTTTCTACTACTAGTTCTCTGTGTTTCTGTTTTTGTTCTAGAGGACTCAGCAGTGACATCCGATGAGCGTATCGTTCTCACGTCCAATACTTCGTGCCACAAGAGTTTCGGAGGTTTTGATTCGCGAGTATTTCGTCTGTCTCCAGAAAGAACGACTGTTTTTCTTGTTCGTGGATCGATCAGAGATTTCGAGGGGAGATGAAACGAGTTCTGTGATGGCTTTATTTTTCTGTACTGACCCGAAGAACTGCCGTAGCCCCGGTGTGACATCTTCAATAGGTGAGATACCGTATCTGAACGGTTTGTTCCACTAAAGTTCCTCGGTGCTGCTGCACTTGGTGTAATATTTGTATGGTTAGAAGATTTGTTGGTATCCTCCCTGAAAAATTCAATTATTCTCTCTTTAGTAGATTTTTTTTATCAGAAATTAATCTAGGCAATTAGCAAATAGCCAGATAATTTACTTGTTATCCGTAACGGACCATCCATTTGGTGTCGCTGCTGAAGTAGGTGATGAAGTATTCTTAGAAACCTCCCAACCTTTAATGCTGCTGGCTGCAGCTTTCGTTAGAACCGTCTCATCCGGCCCAGTCTTCACTCTTATTGGATGATGCCACTTCTCCTTTCCGTTCATTGTTTCCGTTTTGCCATTCGTCTCAGATTTACCATTCTGATATTTCAGAGAATTGTTTACTCCATTGGTACCATTTTGATTTTTCGTGCAAGATAAAACACCATTTTGGCCTTGTGATTTTGAACTTGTGGTTATTACATCGTTACCGTTAGACTTTATCGACTTCTGAACATCTTTCACATTAGGAACGATTTTAGGTGAGGTATCCTTAGATGTAACGTTAACCTTTTGAACGCCATTAGTAACATTCGTGATAGGAATTGCTTTAGAAGCCGCAGAGTTCGTCGTAACAGTATTTTTATTTCCTGTTGTAGAATTATTTTCCTCCTCTTCACTAGAACCGTCGTAAGGTACCAAACTGCTACCATTCAATACTTTTCCATTCTTTATATGCATAACCAATCTTGGCTGCGATTTTTCCTGTAACTTCTGTGGTAGTTGTGGCCCAATGAAGTTTGCACTTTTCTGTATGGAGGGTTGCGGTCCAACAGTCTTTTGATGTGGCAGTTGTGGACCAATCAGTGTTGTTTCCGTACTATCTTTACTTTTAGCCGTACCATTAACAGAACCATTCGAAGACATTACACCAGAAGTCGATGGCTTTGGACAAACGACTTTAATGGAATTACCGTTTGGCAGAGCCAACATATTCTTGGATGTTGATAAACCATTTACTTTTAACGTGTGCTGTGTTTGTAATTGATTCTGCGATTGTGGTTCCATCTCAAATATCATTATATATGCATTTGTACTTAGCACATTGCTCAAACTAATCGGGCGAACCTGTATGAACAGATGATAATTTAATAATATTGATTACATTAATTTTTCTGTTTCCTAGCAGATGATATACTTACACAGGAATCATCGAAGGAATAATACTGCCCTGTAGATACTTGAGCAACAGCCGTGTAGTGTCCACAGTTAACAGAAGGTCCCATATGTGTGACCATAGATGTGAGCTTGTAGTTTAACGTCGTAGGACTATCTCCTGGTTCTTTCCAGAGATAAGGGCCCATGTCTACAGTTTGTTTGAAGCCAATATGTCTTGAGATCTTTCCTCCCAAGACACTGAACCTCTTTAATTGCACACAAAGGACTTTGGGTGGACGCTCAAGACTGAATTGCTTGGTAGCAGGCACCCTACGTTTACAAGCTTCACACTTGTAATCATTATTATCTAGTTGTTCTTTACTGAAGTAGCTGGTCAGAGCCTCATCCAGACTGCTAGCTTTTCGAATGTCCACGAGTAAATCCTGTTTTAGATATTTTATGAGTTTTTTTTTTAGAAAATAGTTCGCTGATTCCTAATCAAGATTTTTCATTGTGTGTGTACCTGGAAGTGCTGAAACGTCGTAGAAACATGACGGCATTGCAAACATTTCACTTCGGTACGTATATAACCTCCGAAAATCTGGTTAATAGGAGTCGTCTCTTTGGAATAACTGTCCAATTTAACAGCTCTGTGCCTAGTTAAATATGCTCGTTCCATTCCTTCAAGTAAATAACGTAGGAACTCGTGAGCATCCTCCTGCTGTCCGGGCACCATAGTTCTACAGATCACTGAAGAATAATAATGAATATATTATTTGAATTTAATAATATTGGAATCACGAATTCATGCAACAGAAAATACTTACGTTTCAGTTTGTTGTATATGTAAAAGGGCTTGATGGCTCCTCCTGATTTTTCATGACTGAATTGTAGTGTTTTTGCCATGGCACATGTAAGGCACTCTCCTCCGCCATCTAAAACTATCCTATTATCAAAATACCATACAAAATAAACGTGTCAAGTCTTGAAAGCAAAGGTAGCATCAATTAACTTGCTAATCAAAATAGAAATGAAAATGTTAGATGCATTATATTGTGCTGCAAAGTTGTATACATATAAAAAATAGGAAATATATATATAAAATAAAATATTCAAATCAAAACATAAAACATACCGTTTTGTTCACATTTAGAATTGTGGTGAGTATCAGAAAGTAACCAATTGATAAGAGCTGGAACATGGAATAGTGCTTGAAGTATGCTATTTAAATAGCAGGTGTTTCCAACATTGTACATTCCAGCACCAACTGGAAATGTTCCCTTCCATCCCAGATTAACTTTTTGAGCAGGATATAAGGTAACTGCAGGTTCTGGCAGACTAGGACCCATTTTCTTTATTTCAGACTTCTTGGTGCTGTTTGCACTATCTTTAGTTTTACCACCCTCCGAATGATCACTGTAAGGCAAGCTCAGTACAATGTATTTGGCCTTGAGTCTATCCAGAACTGTTGCCTGGTAGTTAGCTGCCTCCTCGTACTGTATTTCTGTTTGCAGTATGCGAGATGCACTGCCAGCTAGACTAACGGACAGATCATCTAAAGACTTAGACTGGCTGGCCTCCAGAGAGTGGCGGAGTGCTGCCGCAACAGGGTCACAAATGCTCACAGCAGGCATTACTATCCTACACTACCACTTTTAAGTTTCAGTCAGCCAACTCTGAAAAGAAATTCATTCACTACTTGTAGACACTTCATACAAGAGAGTTCAATATTCCTAAAGAGAGAAGCAAAAAGGCTTATAGAATGAAGGTGAATCAAGGGAAAGCGATTGCACAATTAATTAATTTCTCTGAAGATACATAACCGTATCCATCTATTAAGTAACTGATATGAATTAAATGAATTCCATATTCAAATAATCTATCTCTATAGCACAAAAAGGCAATATTTTAGTTGTAAAATACCAAGCCATGTGCTATTGCGAGCACGCGGTTCACAGCAGACACCGCGCCAACAGACTCACTGTTTACTTCTCGGCGATAAGGCGGCAGAGTCCATATTTTACGGCACCCAAGACTCACAATACTTCTTCACGAGCACTCAAATAAATTTCAGTAAGTCTAGGCACAAATGTATTATCGATTGCAAGGAATTACCACGCGCTTCCATAAGAGATGGTTACCGGAACGAACTATGGGCGCGTGTCGGCCGGAGAATTCGCGCGAATTTTCCACATGCAGTTCGTAACACTTACCCCATTTGTCATTCATAAACTTAATAAAGTTTTCGTCTTCGCGATTATAATCCACTTTAGGCGAGCACCGCACACCATGCGTCTGACATTTTCCGTCGATTATTATCCTTAGCACGCGAAAATGAGGCCCATCCTACACCATGATGGCGGCCATCTACATTCTACAATCGAACGCAGTCAAATCAATCACCCTAATGATTATCTGCTACATTTGGAAGCATAGAAAAGTATTATGATTTTTTTTTTAAAGTATACAAAATCATTGAAAATATTTCATCTAACTTCAAGGGGTATTAATGTATGTTTCATATCCTCATATTTGGCTTATATTTTTTGACTTAAGGAATCCCTGGTGTTTGCTGAAAATTCTGATTACGTATTTATTGACTTTTTAATAACAGTAAAGTAAAAGAAAATATAAAGAACGTTAACTTCTCTATGCGCTTCATTTTCAAGAATTTTTCAAAATTATGTGCTAAGCGGTCCCATGGTGTAATGGTTAGCACTCTGGACTTTGAATCCAGCGATCCGAGTTCAAATCTCGGTGGGACCTAACAGTTATATTTTTTTTGTTCGAAACACAATTAATTTTTTTCCTTTGAAATTTGTTTTTAATTGTTCACAATAAACTTTAGTCTAAATCATACAATTGTGAAATATTTACCTTTTAAATTAAATTTATACATAGAGGGCATTAACAGCATTCTACATTTATTTCGGGTGTCCCAAAATTACCTGACCAACGGGGTATGGCGGTGTTCGGCAGGCACCACTGATCACAGCTAAAAAATTTATTTTGAATCTGTCAAAAGCATACGTGGAATTCGTGGGTTGACTATACAGGGTGTCCCAAAATTACCTGACTAACGGGGTATGGCGGTGTTCGGGAGGCACCACTGATCACGAAAATGACCTTCCTTTTGTCCGGAAATTCATAGTTTTTAAATGGGAGCAGGTCAAACTTGACCAATCAGAACGAGGCATCAAGAGAAACGTAGGCACCTGCGAACTCTGAGTTTTCTTCCCTCGGTTTTGTTTCTCAGCGGCTTCGGGCAGGATGACGTTAGCCGAAGACATGCCTATTGGAAACAAGAAACAACCTACCGAGAAATAAAAGCGAGGGAAGAAAACTCAGAGTTCGTAGGTGCCTACGTTTCTCTTGATGCCTCGTTCTGATTGGTCAAGTTTGACCTGCTCCCATTTAAAAACTATGAATTTCCGGACAAAAGGAAGGTCATTTTCGTGATCAGTGGTGCCTCCCGAACACCGCCATACCCCGTTAGTCAGGTAATTTTGGGACACCCTGTATAGTCAACCCACGAATTCCACGTATGCTTTTGACAGATTCAAAATAAATTTTTTAGCAAACCACAATGGCTCTATGTACAATTTTTTTTTATTGAATATGCATGTGCATGTTTTTGCCCTAAACTTTATTTTATTTTTATAGAGTTAGCATAAGTTGTCGGGATTTAAAAAAAAGCCTCATGTGATTTTCTAAGGACTGTAACGTTTGCGAACTGTTAAAAAAAATATTAAACTCGAGGACCGACTATATGTATATATGTATGTACATACAATCTGTACATACAGTGAGTATCAACGTTGCTTGGAGCATGGTTTGGAGCACGGTCTTACATACAGGTCTTGAAACTTCCTCGAATTTCAGTGGTGGGGGTAACACAGTTTGAAGCAGTTTTGTAATGTATGGCATCTTGCCTACGTGTCACTACTATCGAATGCGCTCGACCAACATAACCTGTAAAGTAGACTCGCGCCATTAGAGAGAGGGAGAGAAATAGTTATTTCTATCTCTGTCGCACGAGGAGCACTCGATCACAGCGCCGTTTACGGCGCGACTACAGAAAGTGAGTCACCCCCCACCATCGGAGTTGAAAGACCGTTGAGTGTAGATAGGTATAGAGGTGCGGAGGACGTGGTGGGGGTAAGTCAAGCATATACTATAGGAAAATTTTAGTTCCAATCCCGGCGGGTAGATGGCGCCCCGAAAATCCCAAGGTATCTTGTGGCGCTGCGTATGAGTGGGGACCATATATTGGAGCTAGTCGCTGGCACACCAAGTTTTTTGAAGAGA